TAACTACTAATAACTCGCTAAAATACACGACACAACAAGACAAAAAAGCCTTGCTAACAAAACAACTCTCCGTGTAACACGTCAACAATAACATCTCAAAGCCCTCGGCTCATCTTGACAATCAGATTTCCGTTAGCACCACGCGATTAGCACATATCGTCCAGCAACCGGCACAATGCCGGCAGATAAACGACTCGAGAAGCGGTCTCAGAATAACCCCCTCGCAGCTGCCGCTCAAGGCAAACCGCCCGCTTCTTTTAGGCCATGTTTTGCAACGTAAATCGAGATTTTTTTTCATCCTTTTCTAAAGTATCTAGAGCTTACAATGGCGCGCACAAGTTTCGAGTCTATTTATGGAGTGGCGATGATCGATCCCACGTTAACCGGTAATTTTAATGGATCGAAAATAAGTTTTATATTCAGCTGTAATCGGTAAATTGATTTATTCTTTATTAACACATCCTTGCAAAACACTTTATTAAATTTTAATTTACTTCGTAAGTACTGTCTGAGGCCATGTAGAACTTGTTAAAATTTAAAATAGGTAATCATGCGGTTTTGTGTTAAAAAATGGTGTCTAATTAAATTCATATCAAATCGAATCATAAACCAATCCTAATTAAAACACTTGGGTAATAATAACAGTTCTGCTATTTTTAAACGATCATATCGTTGCTATTAATGTCGCTTGTCCTACTTCTTATTGAACACGCCGAATGCCCCCGTCAGGTGATTTATAACTCTACGTGATAGGTGGCATGCCTGCCTTGCTAGTATAAACCAGTAATTACCAGTGCATTTACAATTTGTACTTAAAAATCGTGATTTTAGAGCTAAAGAAAAAAAATTGCAGCAATTTTTTACTAAAAATGCAAGAAGAATATCTAACAGAATAACAAAGTATTTTAAAGTTTAAACTAACGACTAAACCTAACATCTGTCTAAGTATTTGCAATGAAGATTTATCAGTAGATATCTCATTTTTTACCTAGGTAGTCTCGTCAAATAGTACCGATGCCTCTTTCATTGCCATTACTGAATGCACCTGCTTTTTGTTGCCGTTTCATTCCCACGCGATGTTTAAATAAATCAGCCATCTCTTTCGTCCATCGCACATTTCGTTTTACATCCACATGCCTTAATGGCGTGATTGCGATCTGGATGAATGGACACGGCCGGTGCAATAAGTTATTAATATTAAAGTAGATGGTATTTTATTTATTGTGATGATGATGACTCAGTGACATTTGAAACCCTTTTAAGATTGTATCGTAATCTTGATGCACACTATCTGAGCGGACGGGATGTTGTCTAAGTACACGTTGATACTGAAAATATGAATGGAAGTGCATTAAATAAAGATACTAGTTAGAACTTAATGGTCAGAAAACGCAGATAACGCGACGTCCAAGAAATCCCAAGTCTCATATTTTCCAAAATTTTACAGAGAACACCTTTGGGCTCCAATACAAGAAACTTGAGCCAAAACTTCACTGGAAAGAGTTTTCTTCAAGTTATTTCTTCTCTTATGATTATCATAATCAGCTGAATCTTGCGCGAAACTTCTCGTCTTAAACACAAAAAGTTACTACGAAAGTTGGTACACAGACTGACCTGCAGATTTAATGGGCAGCTAAGCACCAGCTGAGCGGGCGCAAGCTGGTCCCGCTTTTCACTTAACTTTGCGAGCTGCACTTACTTACTGAGCTACTCTTAGGCTGGGTTGCACCATCTTACTTTAACAAATGTCAAAAATCTGTCAAACTCTATACAAAACACACCGGTTAATGTTATAGTTACTGTTAAAGTAAATGGTGCAACAGCCTTAATCTGAGCTACAGTTTTCAAGTCCGCCTCACTTTGCATCGGCTACCGCATCCATATCGTAAGCGGATCAACTAAATCCGTAAATTATCTAGGCAATAAAGTGATAATATTGACCTCTGCAATTAGCTTTCACAGCTGCATTACTGAGATTATAAAGGATTATGCGAATAATATCTAGTGTAATAGGTCTAGTTACTTGACGACGGCTTATGTCGGTTAACGTTAACGAACAGAAATCTTACCAAAGAAGAGCTAATCGGTTGCATCAAGAGAAAACTTTTAGTTGTCCTCAGAAATGGAAATTAAACGTGTTTAATTTTGTAAAGATGGAATTCATCAGTGTCTTCTATTCCATGATCTCAAGTTTAAAATTTAAAACTAGGTTCCTAAAAACTGAAACAATAAAACTTTTCTTTAAAACCTTTTTATCAGTAACTTGTAAAATAACGCAAATCTTGCATTATAAGGCCGAGTTGCACCTCCTAACTTTGACCGTAACTATGACGATAACCGATGTTTTATGTATGGAGTTGACAGATTTTTGACGTTTGTTAAAGTTAAAGTAAGATGGTGCAACCCAGCCTAAGAGTGTCAACCGTTTCAATTAACATAATTGACGATGATAATGCAAAACCCAGTTGGTTACTGTTAATAGAATTCGTTAAAAAGATGCAAGTCATTTTCAACATAAACTACGATACATGTTTCCGTCAATCGCCAATGCAATGTGTCTCCTAAGACTAAGCTTGTACAACCTTATTAATACACCCTAGTTGAACACTGTTTTAAAGTGACGTTTAGTATGGAAATGTCACTTTAAAACAGTGTTCAACAAGGTGTAACTTTTTATTAATAAGGGGTTAGTGTCTAGATTGTACAATGTCTTATTGCTTAACAATTTTAGCGTCTCTTATAGCTTCTAGCCTAGAGAGAGTCGGCTACCAATCGTCAACTCGATTTGTTTGCTTTGTCCGACTGTACTTTTTGCTGTGCATTCTCGCCTTGGCCGGCGCAGCAATTAGTGTTGTCCTTATCCTTTAACGGCCCGCTGTTCCGCCAGTTTATTGTTCCACGAGGAATGTCCCGGCGATTTCTATTCATTACTGCAAGTGGGGAATTTGTTTTCGATAAACGAGCTGGCAAATCCCAAAAGGTATTAGAAGAGTTTGTAGAGATGCCGATTGTTTATGTTCTACTTTAAAATGATAAGCATGACTAACAGAAATAATTTGTGGAATTTGTTTGTTTATTGCTCATTAATGATTAATTTGTATTTTAACTTCAAGATAAAGATAATAAGTTATACTTACTTAACTACCAGTAAGTTGCCAATAAGTGGCTGGCTACCTACCTAATGTTACACCATACAAAAACACAAGTCCATTCGATGTTGTACTGATTTAATAAAATTTTATTCAACGTATACAGTCTCAAAATTATAATCATTGTCTTTTCTCAGAAATTACTCAAACAATTCTGCGAAGTGTGCAATCATATTATATCTAATATCAATGTAATTATTTAATACCGGCTTACTGCAATCGCGAATAAAACAAGCACTTAATCGCTGCTAGAACCTGCTTCATTATAAAGTGATAATATCAAAAGTATCAAAACTTTGCCGCCGCAGTATATCAAAAGCTGTTCACACTCCGCAATGAGTGGCAATGATTTCGTGATCGAAGGCGGGTCCAAGCTAGTGCCGCCTCTCGCGGCGCGCGTAACGGTGACGGCGCACTAGCGCTGCGGAATTTGCTCGAACTAACAAAATTATTTTAGAATGAAGTTTTGAATTTGAGTGTTTTAAAAAAATGAAAAATATAAAGTTAATTTGTTTGTTACTAAATTTTTACCTACAGCTAGGTCTTCTCAGCCTTCATATTTCTTGTCTGTCTGTCTGTCTGTCTTGCCTGAATGATTTATGAATGAAATAAGCTTTATAAAAGTTAGCGTTCAAATAATATTTTATACAAAACAGAAAAGTAAGCACTTGCTCGTATAAACATCATAATAAAAAACAAAACCGCAAAAAACCAACCATTAATTAACTAGGCCAACAACAAATTACAAGAATAGTTTATTTCAACGAAAACCCATTTAGTTTTCACAACGGAAGCGGTCGCGACCGCAACTTTATCATTCGGACGTCACGTGGTACAAACACGAAGCTGTGATATTTTGCAACGAGTGGAAAAACGATAACGTTATCAAATAAATGCTCGTTTACGCGAAATGAGTGAACAACCTTGACCGCTGGGATTCTGATACGATTGATTGACCAGGAAACTCTCGCTTAAAACTATGTACTATGTATGTTAATTGGGCCACTTTTTTTAAGCAATTTTAAGCGCCCTAGAGTTAGTTTATGTTTTACAGTTTAAATGACAAAACTTGGTATTCATATAATAATTTATAAGTAATACTCTAGCTAGAGTCCAATCTACATCATCTACAATATTTTTGATTTGACTACCCAATCCTTAATTGCATTCTTATACCATATACCAAGAGTAGGCTGGAAAGACTTGTTTGCAACCGGACCTTATTACCTAAATTACATGGTTATTGTTAATAATTAAATAACTACGGTTTACCTGAAAAAACGTCATTGCACAACGGGAAGCGGTTGCAACCGCATTGTTTCTGTAGGAGCGATTGTGCACTTTCCGTCCGCTGGCTACAATTATTACAAAAATAACGATAACTCAAGGTAATATTGAAATACATAACTTCCTTCTATAATGCATTTTAATTGAAATTATACGTAGTTGCTAAAAAACGTCCGCGACAAAACATTTACCTAGTGGACCTGGATTATTAAAACTATAAAAAGGTTACTTACCTACCTTAGAGTAGCCGCGTGGTTTAGAAAGGAACATTAGGCATCCATCTACATTACACGAAACTGACACTTACTACAAACACTGGAACGGCACGGTCTTATCCCTAGTAAACAATATCTTGGGGATATGACTGATGATGGGGTTTTCTAAATCTAAAGGCAGTTGAAAAGGTGAAGTCTGGGAACGTAAATTACGTATTATGCTCTAAGTCCAGCGGTTGCTTACCGGTCTATCGTATATCGAATCAGTCGGCCCGTTACCGTTGGGCTATTTTAGCTTTAACTTGCATAGTATCTAGCTCTCTGTAACGTGTTTTCTTTGTTGTTGCAGGCTACTACCAGCCAGCGGGCCCGCTCATCAAGGAGAGCGGCGCGGACGCCGAGCGCGCGCTGGCCCGCTACCACCCGCCGCCGCACTACCACGCGCCGCACCCTTCCGTGAGTACCACCATCGTTATTCGGGACTATTCTCATCTCTGTTTCCCACCGCTGCAACTCTTAGTAGCCAGGATCTATAGCTCGACCGCCAATCGCATCATCAGTTCAAATCAGATCAGTGACAACATCGAGATCTCTAATTTACCACAGCCAAAAAGATTTGTACTACAACTACACTCCCCACGCTGGCTAGACGAGTTTAGGAGGCAGGATGTCGTAAGATTATTGCCAGCTAATTAAGGCAGCTTAACGCCATCGTACTTCAGTCAACTGAGATTTAAGATATTGTTTATGAGCTGTCAAAACGCAAATCTTGTAGATTGTAGAATTTGTGAATATTTTACAGGCGGACAAGTTGTACAGATCAATCCCAAAATATTTTCGATTACAAGATTTGTTCGAATGATATCCGCAGTGACGACCATGCATTTAAGAACTGAAAGGTCTTTATGAACAAATTAAGTAGGTACTATTGAATTGGCCAAAGCATAACGTTAAATACTTATAGGATTAGTATAGGTAGGTTGGTCAGAGGTTGCGAAAGTCGGGAGCTACCAAATACAGAAAATGGTAAAGGTGAACCTAGACCTAGACAGAATTTACCTTCTATATTGGTATTGTTTAAACCTCGTTCAGAGAGTTTGATTGTCTGGTAACCGTATATCACACGAAATGGTTGTTCGCAGGTGCTCCAGCAATACGGCGCCCCGTACTACCCGGCGGCAGAACTATGCTACGGCCGGTACTACAGGCCTTCGGGACCATACCACATGCCGCCTCCACAGCCCGATGCTCCAGTAAGTCCCACTTCTTTCGTACTTCATAATCATCATCATCTCAGCCATAGGACGTCCACTGTAGGCCTCCCCCAATGATTATCACAATGGCCACGGCCACCGTGGCGGCCTGCTTCCTGCTATCTTTATGAGGTCGTCAGTCCACCTACGCTGCGCGCGTTTCGTAGGTACTTACATTACTTTAAGTGAATACTTAAAAATTATATAAGTACTCACTTGATGTTGGTATCAGTTCGCTGACATAAGATCTAAAGAATATGATTGAGCTCTACCGATAGCGAAACGTTAGTAATTTTTCATTTATGACCGCGGCTATAATATTTATCAAATCTTAAAACCCTGTAGATTATTTTTAAAGTTGCAAGTAAAAATTCTTCCCGCCAATATTTTATCGCTTTTTAAAATATAAATGCTCCATATCATACCTGAATCTTGGCTTCCCGTTAACTAATCGCATATAATTTGTCAACCAAGAAATGAGTAATCGCTAACTGTTTACCGATGTTAGGGTAGACTCGATTGAATAATCGCCCCAGGCGCAAATCTGAAGGGGCGGGATGTCTGCCGATTCCCCTGAGTGTGCAATTTTCAGGGGGTCTATCCTTTTAATTTTGTCGACAAATTGGTGGAAATCGACACTAAAATCAGTTAGCAGATTGCAGTGGTTTGAGATGAATTAGGCACACACGCAATTTGGAAAGTGCTTGCCGATTTGTTTATTAGCCAAGCAAAATTTTCGTTAATCGTATTGGAAACTTAAGCCATAGATTTCCTTAGATGATTTTCCCGTACCTAATACGCCTCTCACTTTGCTCTAACTAACGGACTGTCTCTGTCTGTGGTTTATGTTCCACTCGAACATTTTGTTAAACTCATACCTACTTTATGTGTTGTTATTAATTAACTAATTGTTCTTGTTTTTTACAGATGGTAGGGGTAGGCAGCGAACCTTATCCCCCGCCACAATACTATGGTACTCCCCCATGTTACCAACACTCGCCGCAAAGGATACCATACGTAGGTCAGTATTCACATCATTAAAGTATTTACAAATAAAGTGATTTGATTTGATTTGATTATTCTTTTACCTAGTAAAGTATTTGTTTTATTTCCATAACCAATATTTTTCTGAGCTAATTTTCTTTCGAGCTGATTGATCCAATAAATAATTCTTTTACCAAACAAAAGGCAACTACAAATCACATTCATCGAGGAACAAATAAACAATTTTCACGTTAGTTTACTTTATTACGATCACAGAGCAACGTTAATTATATCTGGTAATATTTATTACTCGTTAATAGAAATATAACATCAATTAAGTGCGGATATTTATCCTGGCAATAGCAATTATTCCCGAACATATGGACAATTCACAATGGAGCTACTTAAATAGCTCCCTCCCACGGTCCATCGGTGCGCAGGCGATCTATTTGCGCTGGCTAATGACGACCTATTTTGGCCTAGCAGACACAACACAAAAGGCGAATCTACTATTAATATCTGACTGACACATTCTTCCTTCCGCAACAATAGTCTCGGAGCCGGCACCATATATGGCTTGTAGCTTAATCATGAAGATTTGTATCGTTATCATATCGATCTAACGCAGTCCATAAATTGTATCACACATCCGACTAGATTCGACATCGTACTTACCTAATTGTTATATCCATTTACGAAATTGTAGAGCTCCTGACTACGATTGATCAACCGTTTAATCGTTAAATAACATACGGTAGACTGGTAAAGACTGAGATAGCTCGATATTCCAATAGGTCAAGGATGGCTTTCACGGTCGGTTGAATCTGAACAATATCCTGCAATTATCCTGTAGGCAAGGATGCACTGCGCAATATTTCGCAATACATGTATCACCCTCGGCATAAATGATTCACTCGCTGTGCACCTATCTATGCTCCATTAAAGTAATTATAGTTACTCGTTCTGTCGACGCGACAACGTGTGGATGCATTTAGCCGCGTGTTACTGCTGATCTATTGGCAATCTTCAGACTGTGCTTATTTATAAAGCAATAATTATATCGCCGGATAAAGTGTATAATTAAACTACTGATTAGATAACGTTCGGTTGAATAACGAAATAATATACGCAATTAAAATCATGCTTATTGTCACGCAAACCTTTCATTCAATCGATGTTTCAAAGGTCACGGTGAAAATTGTTTGTTGGCTGAATAAAGCCTGAAAAAATTCCGTACGCTAGCGCTATCTATCCAATTCCTAATCAACTCGACCTACATGTGAATTAGTAGGGTTGCTGGAAATTTATTGTCGCAGGTCAGAAAGCTAATGAATAATGTAGACTCGAGGCTTTCTAGCATTTATCACTGTGTTTAACTGATTTTGTTATGCAATTATGTTGTTCCGTGCGACTGCATTTTAATTTATTATTATTGGTGTAAGTAGTCTTTTAGTTTGTTTTTCGAATGTATACTTAAAAAAAAACCTCGATTTGTTTCAGAATATCGCGGATGCCCGTGCCCACTAAACGCGTGTCCAAAAAACGTCCTTATTGGGCCCGCTACTGGTAAAGCCCCAGCTGGTGGCGGCCCGGACGTCCCTTCGGCCCTCGCGCCGCCCGGGGGCGCCTTCCGAGCGAAGGTGCGGGCGTGCGCCCTCGACGCTGTCGCTGACACACACGGCAGCGGGAAGGTAACACATCTAAAGCCTGGTCCGTGAGCACGTAGAATCCCGTCCAATGACCCCAAGCTGCCCATCCTTGTCACTCGCACGTAATTATGTTGCTGTCGCGCTCGCACACTTACTGCGGGCGCGCGTCGCACAGTCGCGACAGCAATATAATTACGCGCGAGCGATAAGGATGGGTAGCTTGGGGTCATTGGACGGGATTCTACGTGCTCATGGACCAGGCTTTACCTACACAATTTAATTATTATGACTGTCCAAACTTGTACTTATTTGCCTTGATTTCTGTGCTTGCGTAAATAATACTCTAATCTATTTCCATTTATTCCACTAGTAAGAGTAACTGATTCCTTAATCAGTTACTCTTACTAGTAGTCTCCCTTGAGAGGATCAGAGGATCTACAGAGTACTGGACTAACCCAGTCGTTTCTTCCAGGACCCTCCGCTGGAATCAGAACCACCGGCCGCAGCTGACGCTCCACACCCCTGTCCGCTACCAGCTATCGGAGGCGCATCACCCAAGCGCGAACTGTACGACGTCCGCGACAACCTCCGGCTGGTGGGGGACATCCCGGGCCCCGCTGAGCCAATTGGCCCGCCCTCCCCTGCGAGGGGCTCAGCGGGGGCCTGCGCTCCCCAGCCGCCCCCCGCGGCACCCAGGCGGGCCCGCCTAGGCAAGGACATGGCGCGGAAATCTCTTGCCGGCGACGACACCGGACTACTCCTCTCCGCACCCCAAGCTCCCCTGCTGGTCCACAGCAGCGACGCCGATGATGACGTCATGGCGATCTCACCCCCAGTCTGCGCTCCCATTGATCTCTCCTCCTCCGATGAACGATCCACCCCTCTAGTTGACGTCAAAAAAGAAAACGAGGGCCCCACTAACGCGCTATTGCGTAAAACCGACGCTCTCGCTCTCAGAGAACACAACTGCACAGCAGTCTCTGAACAAAACATGGACGTCACGGATTCCGCGAAAGCAGTCAAAAGGCGATATTCCAGGCCGAAGCTGGAAATAGACATGAAGGATACGCAACTGGAGGATGGTTGCAAAACGAATTGCATCGGGGAACACGTGAAATTGCAAAAGCGCCGAAAAGTATCAGGGGAACAGACTGACGTTCGATTGGAAACTATAACGAAGGAGCCTAAGAAGAAAACGTCGCCGGCTAAAAGAGTGCCTAAAACACCGTCGACAGAAAAGAAACCGCTCAAAAGAAAACTGGAGAGCGTGGCGGCCGGATCACGGGCAAAGAAGGCACTCGTTGAGACAGCCAACGAAGACCCGCGCCTGAAGAACGTAGCCGCTGTCCCCGAAGACCTTGCGGTGCCTAAGCCGAAAACTAAGAGTGCATTGCTGCTGGATAACCTCATCAGAAAGAACAGCATCGACAGGCCTGACGCGAAGGGCTTGTCCGAAAGAAATCTGAATCCAGCGGAGCTGTTCCTCTCGCCCGACGAGAACGTCGCTCAGAGTTGCGCGAAGAAAACCAACATCAACAACAACGTCGTGGACAGCGCCAACGCGCCCGTCAACGGCGTGCGGCCCAACACCATCGCCGCCGTCAGCCAGCTCATAGGGAAGAAGCTCGCGTACAAAAACCCCTGCAAAGTCGAGAAGATCGACTCGAATATAACGCACAACCTCAAATCAGTATTAAAAAGGCCCACCGTGAAGTCGTCGGACGACGACTGCAAACCCTCAGAGAGGCGGTCGTCCGAGGACTGCGTAGTGGTTCCGGAGAAGAGCGAGGAGGCGGTTAAGGATGTAGAAGTGCCGAAGGAGGATAAAGTCGAAGCGGAGAAGCCAAAAGCGAAGGCGGTTTTGAAGACGGACGCCGAAGAATCTCAGAAGCGGAGCGAGGTGGAGGAGGAAACGGAAAAAGATAAGGGGAAGGGGAAAAGAAAGGGGAAGGGGGAGTTAAAAGATAAGGTGGTGAAGCTGCTAGTGTCGAAAAAGCCAGGGCTGAAGGCTGATGAAGCTGCGTTGGTGGTGGAAGACGCTTGTACGACGAGCGGCTCAGTGCGGCGCACGCGGCGCCGGCGCAGCGGGCTGGTGGTGCGGCGCCAGCGCCGGCCGCCCGCGCCGCCGCCGCCGCCCGCCAGCGAGCCGCGTGCACCGCCGCGCTGGAGCAACGGCTGGAGTTTCGACGGCGAACACTACTTGTCCAAAGTCTACCTCAATGTGAGTATCGTATAACATACACTTAAATACTTAAGAAATTTTGACATTATCGCTAAACTGCTCCAATGCTTCCGTCTCTCTCGATTTGAGACAGTAATGAAACCATGGAGATATAGAAAGATGCCAACTAATGCGCTGAGTTAGAAACTCAGTGTCGCATTAGAAATTCACACACACACTGCGGCATCAGTACTCAACGTTCGAATAATCTTTAGTACTACGCAAGCAATATAAACTGTTTACATTATGACGTCGCTGCTGTCATCATTGCTGTCACGGGCAATGTGTTCTGTTTTTGGGCATATTGCTGCGACACCGGCCCTGTCCCCTTGTCAGCTCACTATCTCGATACAAATAAATCAGATGCCCTTGATTGTGTATGTTAAATGTTTTATGTCCTAAACGACAGCACACAGACTATCTATACAGTCAACTCTGATTTTGAATAGGACACTCATTACCGTACCCATACTGATACTAAAGTTGCCAACTGGATTACTTATTATTGTCGGTTTCCAGAACGACTCGCGCCTGGACCGCACTGCGCGCTGCTGGGCGCGCATGACGCACGCAAGCGGCGACAGCGTGGCGCGCGGCGACTGCGTGCTGCTGCGCGCCTCGCTCGCGCGCGCCCAGCCCTTCGTGGCGCGCGTCGCGAGTCTGTGGCAGAACCCGGACGACGGTGAGGCATTATACACAGTCGTTCACAGTGATGCGACAGCGTGGCGCGCGGCGACTGCGTGCTGCTGCGCGCCTCGCTCGCGCGCGCGCAGCCCTTCGTGGCGCGCGTCGCGAGTCTGTGGCAGAACCCGGACGACGGTGAGGCATTATACACAGTCGTTCACAGTGATGCGACAGCGTGGCGCGCGGCGACTGCGTGCTGCTGCGCGCCTCGCTCGCGCGCGCGCAGCCCTTCGTGGCGCGCGTCGCGAGTCTGTGGCAGAACCCGGACGACGGTGAGGCATTATACACAGTCGTTCACAGTGATGCGACAGCGTGGCGCGCGGCGACTGCGTGCTGCTGCGCGCCTCGCTCGCGCGCGCGCAGCCCTTCGTGGCGCGCGTCGCGAGTGTTGGGTCTAATTCTCGTCACTACACTGCACAACTTAAAATAATTACGTTTTTTGTCGGTAAAAACGTCCTGGTGACGTCACTTAAGCATTTTTCTTATACTGCGTGCGGTCGTTGCGCGTGCGCACAAAGGAATGAGACCGCTCGGACACCGAGCCCACAGCGTGGTAGGGGTGGGGTTGCCCGCTCTTTTGTTTTTTAATACTACTACGCTGAATATTGTGTGCGGATTGGGTTGTCGTACAGGGGTACTACATGGTAAAATAAATCTCGGAGGCGAAAGCAGGATAATTTGAATCATATACAGTAATACAGTCGTGGTCAACTAATTAGGGACGTTATATGACTAAAACACAAGACCGTCTCTCCAGTCCGAAAAAAAAATATTCACGAGGCTTTTAGCTTGTGCCTATTAATAACAAGTAATTTGGCTAGTATTCTAAATATTTAAAGGCCAGAAAAGAAACTAGCTAGTTGCGATCAATATTTTTAAAATAAATAAATCATTGCCACCTACACATTTATTGACCTAGGGATGGACAACTAATTAGGAACACGTAACACTTTCACTGTAAATGTAAATAAATTGGAAATTATTTAAGTGTTGTTGTTGTGTTGTTCATTAATAAATATAGAATACAAAACAAAATCATCAAACGTATTTTTATAACCAATATGGTTGGTTTTGTTGGTTATAACCATTTGACATCGGCGCGGCATGGATGCAATCAAATCTTTACAGGTTTCTAAAGAAATGTTATTCCAAACACCATGAAATGCCACGAAAAGCTGATTTTTAGTGCCAGTACGTTGAGCTGCAACTTTTTCCTTCGTTTCATACCATAAGCTCTATACGGCTTAAGTCTGAGTTGTTTTCGGGCCAATCTAGTACCGTCACTGACTGTTGCGCTAGGTACGATTAAACAGAGTACGCGGTATGTTTTGGGTCGTTATCGTGTTGAAATGTTCATGAGACTGGTAAGACTTCTTCAGCATACGATAGCATCGTTTTCTCCAATATTTATTTGTATTGGAATTGCTCAAGTTTAACTTCAGTTCTTTTTATAGGTTACACTCTATGTCTAGAAAAACAGCCCCAGATTTTTATATTGCCGCCTGTATGTTTCACCTGCTTCTTTGTTTACTTTGGTATCATTTCGGACTTTACAGGTCGTCGCACGTATTGTCTGTCATCGGATGAAATAAGATTTATCTTGGTCTCATCAGAAAACAGCCCATTTATCCATTGAGCAAAAGCCTAATGTCCATACTTTCTTGCAAACGCCAATTTTGCTTCTTTGTGTTCCATCTTCAGTAGTGGAACTTTTCGAGGAACTCTTCCTACAAGATTTGCCTCCACCAGTCGCCTTCTGACGGTCCTCGCAGGTACTCCAGCAGTCGGTTCTGGTCCAAAAATCTCGCTCTTGATCAGAACGAAACCCTTAAAGGGGTCTCTCTTTGCGAGAGTGACCATTCTGCGATCATCTTGTGGGGTTGTTTTTATTGGCCTCTTCCTTCTAGGCATACTTTCTGTGGTTTCATGATTTTGAAATAAGCCACTGCATCGTAGATTCATGTTTTTGGAACATTTCAGATGATCTGCAATTTACCGGTATGGCCATCCACACTGATAAAGATTGATTATAACTTACAAATGAACAGAATAAAAGTTATTACTTTTTATTTTTTTAATTTAGAAGGAAAAACTTAAGCTTCCCTAATTAGGTGGCCAGACCGTCCGTACCATAATTACCGATTCATGTGATTTGATTAAGATGTTTTATTAAGTTAGTAAGTTTTTTTTTGTTGTTATTGTATTCTGTTAAAAAGTACTTGATAGTCAATATGTTTACAAAATAACAGTCAGTAATATCGAATGAAGCTCACAATAATAGGATAAGAACACTTAGTATTGCTTAGTATTCTATCTGTCCCTAATTAGTTGACCACGACTGTACATACTCATCCTAAAAACAACATAAATGAGAAGGTCACAAGGTTGAATTTTGGATGCAGTTTGAGCTGCAATTTCGAGATAGCGTGGTACACTCAATAAATGCATAATGCAGTTTGCAAATTGCTCTAATTCAGGCGAAAACCCAGCTTTTGGCGGTTGCCACTGTTTTGGACAATACATGTGTAAATGGGAACAAAGAGGGTTAAATTATATGGTTGGTCCTGGACAAATAACATCTACTTATACAAAACGACTTCTACGAGTAGGTACCTTAGCACAAAACACTCATTTAGGAATAAATCTTGGTCTATAGCAGTTTTTATTATTAATTTTTAAATTATGTTAAGTTCTGTGTCTTAAAGTTTAAATAATAAGGATTTTTTTATACATATTTTATTCACATTAATTTGTTCTTATTATTTTCATATGTAGAGTTCTGACACTCGTCATAAAATTTTGCCCATTCTTTTTAATGAGTCTCGGGTAAGGTAAGTGCCCCCTACTTCGGTATATTAAGGCTCTTACGACTTCAACAATTTATTTAAAAATAACCAAGGATGATATCAGTATGAAAGCTTTTGTATGCTAAAGTTTGGTCTTTTGACAGTAACTTAATACATAAATTATAGTTATATTGTTTAAACTTTTTTTAATATTAATTGTTCTGCGGACCTCTTGTTTGGATCCTGTTTCGTGATAAAATTTTGCTCTGTTTCTAAGTTCGTGAGCTCATGTCCCCTATTTCGGGATAAAGTTTTACGCATCGAGTTAGGATATTTTAATAATGATTAAGGGTTTAATAAATTTAAAAACGATAGTATAAATTTAGAATAAAAGAATTCTGTGAAATTGACGATATTACTGCGACAGCGTGGCGCGCGGCGACTGCGTGCTGCTGCGCGCCTCGCTCGCGCGCGCGCAGCCCTTCGTGGCGCGCGTCGCGAGTCTGTGGCAGAACCCGGACGACGGTGAGGCATTATACACAGTCGTTCACAGTGATGCGACAGCGTGGCGCGCGGCGACTGCGTGCTGCTGCGCGCCTCGCTCGCGCGCGCGCAGCCCTTCGTGGCGCGCGTCGCGAGCCTGTGGCAGAACCCCGACGACGGTGAGTCACTACACAGACGGGCGCCCGCACTGAGTGTGCGAGCGCGACAGCAACATAATTACGCGCGAGCGATAAGGATGGGTAGCTAGGGTTTTCGCCATGTTAAACAGTCGTATGATTAGGACATTTGCAGGAGGGCTACACTGTGATCGTTACTTTAATATTTATTATAGTTCGCACCGTACAATAACATTTTATTTATTTTTATTTTTTCCCGTTTCGTTGACTTATTTATTTATTTATTAGTAAACACACAAACACTCAACACGTCACCCACACTAACTCATCGATGGCACGTTCAGGAGCAGAACACACAACACACACATTCTTAATTTAGTATTTTTCTTGATTTTGTCTTTAGCCATTGGACAAAATTCTACGTGCTCACGGACCAGACTATAGTATACAGTGTATAGTAGGTACACAGCTAAGATCACGTGAGCGGCCAGTGCAGCGTGTGGTTACAGTTTCCATCCTTCAGTAACGAGCTTTCTCCGACAGTAAACCCCAGAAGGGTTTACCCTTCATTCAATGTATGCGTAGCTCTTTACAATCTTTAGTTCCTTTAAGGGCCAGCGCAGACCTGGCGAGCCACGGCGAAGCGTGGTTTCGTTAGATGAGCGTCACTAGTTGAAAGCCTCCAAGCGGAGCAATCCTTGAAGGCATTTGTCCAACAGTGGAGTAGTGAACGAATTTTCTTCATGGTCTCTTCCTTGCCCCTCGTCAAGTCTGCGCTGGCCCTTAACATTAAACGCGTTTTAAAAAGACATAGCAAAGATTTTACAGTTTACAGATGACACAAACTAACAGTTTTATCCTTTCCAGGAGAGATGATGGTGTCCCTTGTCTGGTACTACCGGCCGGAACACACGGAGCACGGGCGGCAGGCGGTGGACGCGCCCGACGAGGTGTTTGCGTCCCGCCACCGCGACGCCAACTCCGTCGCCTGTATTGAGGACAAGTGCTATGTGCTCACCTTCAACGAGTACTGTCGGTGAGTCTCCGTTACATCCTTCAGGTTCAGAATGTCCAATTCCCGGAATGTCCAACGGTTTCAAAATGTCCAATTCCCGGAATGTCCAATTCCCAAAATGTCCAATTCCCAAAATGTCCAATTCCCGAAATGTCCAATTCCTGAAATGTCCAGTTCCCGAAACGTCCAATTCCCAAAATGTCCAATCTACTATTATGATGGGTTTGTTAAATAAGTCCTCATAGCCTTTCTTAAAAATCCCAACTAATATTATAAATGCGAAAGTAACTCTGTCTGTCTGTCTGTCTGTCTGTCTGTCTGTAGTCCCGGGAAAGAACATAGGATAGTTTTTATCCCGGTTTTTGAAACAGGGACGCGCGCGATAAAGTTTTTCTGTGACAGACAAAATTCCGCGCGGGCGAAGCCGCGGGCGGAAAGCTAGTATTTAATAAATAACCATATTTAAATTTAAATAGTCATTTATTTGTTTACAAATTATTCTTTCCTTTTTAGGTTAAAAGAAAAAATATAAATACCTATACAACACATACTTGTACGAGTATAAAGTGCAGTAGCTCTCTACAATTTTTTCTACATACTTTTTGCAAATAATAAAATTGTTCTATGTTTTTATGCCGATTTTGCAAAAAGTAAACACATTAGTACAGAAATGTATATTAATTATACTAATTTTTAAGAAAGGCTATGAGGACTTATTCAACAAATCCATCATAATGGTAGATTGGACATTTCGGGAATTGGACGTTTCGGGAATTGGACGTTTCGGGAAGTGGACGTTTCGGGAATTGGACATTTCAGGAATTGGACATTACGGGAATTGGACATTTTGGGAATTGGACATTCCGGGAATTGGACATTTTGAAACCGTTGGACATTTTGGGAATTGGACATTCTGAACCTGAAGGCCTATACCTTATGCCGGCTGTACAGTACAGTCTCTTCCAAGCCCTCACCCTGACTCGCCCAAATGTCTCGCGAGACAGCCATGTGCGAACATGGGAACGAGAGCGAGCGAGCATTAGCGAGACCCCGAGAGGTAGCGAGAAGTCCCCTGTACACTCTTGCACTCGACCTGTCTTGTGGGCTTTCGGCGATTGAGTACAGCCGGCATAAAATAAGAAACTCTTAAAATGTGTCATATTAGTAAACGAATGACGTCATATCGCTTAGCAAAATGTATTGCGAGAAATGCGTTTTGACAGTTCATAACAAGTATGGTCAACATATTGGTAGCGGCAATATTCCTATTTTGCTGGTGCCAGCAACATCATTGTCCAATGTTTTAGTTGGAAGAACGCAAATTTTATGCATGTATCATTGCGCTTGGGCACATTCCGTAGTAAAGGCATGACTATTACACAGAAAGTAGAAGTAACGTTCATATTCACAAGCACTAAAAACAAGCATAACTAACGTTATTTTAATAATTCGTTAAAGCTGTTCCATAGTAAAGGCATGACATCTATAAGTCTATTATACAAAAAGTAGAACCTACTTAACGTTCATTTTGAAAGCTAAAAGAAACCCGAACTAACGTTCTTTTAATAATGTTACAGATACAGAAAACGGCTAAAAGCAGCCGAGGAGGGCCTGACGATCGCGCCATCGATCGTGCCGCCGCTGCCGGCCGCCGACTACAACCCGGCGCTGGCCCCCAACGACGTCAGGCTGCCCCCCTCCGTGTCCCCCGAACTCGTTCTCTTCTGCCGCAAGGTCTACGACTTCCGATCCAAGAAGATCCACGTCCCCAACAAATGAACCCGGCCCCGGGACCCCTGGATCAAGTCGACAGCCCTCCGGCCGAGCCGAACCGTGGGTGCATTTTTATAAGTAATTTCTAAGAACGAACACCAAAGTTACGTTACGGAGTTTTCTTTGCCGGCGGCGGCCGTGTAGTGTCCCCCACTTAGTACAAAGCGACGGTCCGGCGCAACGTAGATGTGTGACCCGCGCCATTTATGTCAGTATCGTTGTGTTTAGTGATCGCCGATTGGTCGTTACTTTGCTTGTGTCGTGATTGCAGTAGATATTCCTTTAATGTATATTAAACAGTGATTTGCTGTATTCGATTGATTTTATGATGAATATTTTTTATCAAAGGATGCCTTTTATAATGTGTAAGTAGTTGTAAGTGAATCATGATCGACGATAGACTCATGATTGTGGTAATAGCGATATATTTCCTTTTGCTTCGGGACGTAACTTGTCCCAATTTGTCTCATTTTGGTAGCATTAATATTGAAATGGTGTGAGTGCCAGATGTCTGTAACATTAACTTGTATGGCTGGTACGATTTTGTTTTACGATTAAGTTTCTTTTTGGCTATTTAAAAAAAGCATTTATTTAACAATTTACTTTTAATTGTTATAACTGTTATAAAAGTAGAGTCTATATTAAATTATTCTTTTATTATTTAAGAACATGAAACAAAATCGTCATTGTGAATAGTGTCTGCAGGCCAGTTGAGGCGTGCATTACAATCATACCGTGTTCACTTCTTATACAAAAGTGAGCACCGTATTACCACAAAAGATACAACAGCCATTTGACGTAAATTTATAGTCAAAATAATTTCATCACAAAAATTTTAACTAAAATCTTGATGCTCACTTTAATGCCATCACTTCTACCGTGGTGGTGAATATACAAGTATTATGAATCCCATACTGTAAAATTCATTTGAGCCGTTTGTCAGCAGTAGACTTATTTTGTATGAACTGGCTGAGCTTAGCCTGTATTTGTAATGAAGATAATAAAACCATGCCTTTAAAGGAATTGATTTATCGATTGCATTTTGGCTTCGATCATTCAAATTGGTTTACTGAATTCGCAAGAGCTCTCAGTACTTTTACAAAAAGACTGATTTTGCAGAAGTGAAATATTTGTTGTTTTGTCCAGTACCTGTGTCAATTCCGGATCTTACCACATTGCGATTATTTTCCATTGCGTCAGCCAACATAAAAATAAACAAGTGGGATCATTGTAACATATTTGAATGTAATATTAGTGCATAGATGTAACAAAAACACTTTGAATGCAAAGAGATATATTGTATGAATGTCATAGTGAAATCTCTTTATCATTAGAAACATAATTTTTAAGTAGTGCGGATTTATGAAATAAAGATTTATTATATTAACGTTGTGATTCCCGCGTGGATGTTTGTAAAGGGCATTTATACGTTTGCAATTTGTACCTATCTCATTCTGTCTTCACTATTTCTTACAATGTATCTCTCAATTAGGTTCGTCTGTCCTTCGGTTGATGTATATTAAATTATGTTGTACATAGAACTCTTATTTTTGTGAGTAGGTCTTGATCATGTTAATAAATTATTGTTCTTGCCAGTGAGATCATTATCCTAATAAGAAGGCATCTGAAACGGCTAGATGTTTATTTCGAATGCTCCTGCGTTCGATGGGAACTGATATTTACATTCCTCCTACAATCTTAATATGTAACATTGCGTGCATTTCTATGAGAGCACACGTTTAATACGGTACGGGATGGTGAAAAACTCAATATATCCATACAAAGTACCCCATCTTGATACTGTATTATGCAGCAATGAAAAAGTTAAATAAAGCACGAAGTTTTAAAACCACCAAAGCCGTTTACAACGCTATTAAAATAACTACTATCATCACAATCTCACTAGTTGTCTATTCCAAAGCTTTCTTTATCTATTCTTTTTTCGTTGCTTGATGCCAAAAATTTAGCTGCAAAAATTCTATTATTCAGTAAAGATACAAATTTCCTTCTATTTAGGTTACACGGATGGCAGCGGAGTTTGCGCATGATTTACCAACTATTCTATATTTATTCAATAGGGATTTTGAGACCATAAACAATAAATTCCAAAGATGTTATCTTCAAAAGAAAAAATGAATATGTTTATTTTCAAAATCATGTTAGTAAATACTATTCTTTAGCCAATTGACAAAAAAGTGACGACACCCTAATAATTTTTTGAAGTCAACTGGCACATCATTCTGGTTTCCTAAAGTTTTTGTACTTACATAAAAAAAAATTGTTTTGATTCTAAAATACTGTTTTGACTATTTGGGCGCCTTCAAATTAGAGGCGTGAAGAAGAAGCGTTGCAGTGCCGCCACTGTGGCTACGTCTCTAATTTGAAGGTGCCCTAAGTGTCCATTGATTGGTGATGTCAACGTGCCTATTGTTGTAAGAAAGCCCTAACATTGAAATAATGATCATATTTTATGTTGAGACCTCGATAAGGCACTTTTAGACAAAGGTGAAAATGGACGGCCACCGATGTTGGACTTTGAAACAACCATAGTCAGATTAGAGAAACAAGAATTTCATTAAATACCGACTTGAATAAATATTTTGATTCCATTTATCGTGTTACCTATGCGCAGATTACGCTGACATTGCTACTCATTATCTATTAATTATTAGAATTAATGAGTGAATTCCATAATAATAATGTTACTATAAGTGAGCTCTCCCTTGCTTGTAGCTGTTTTTTTTAATAAACCTGTTACCTTAAATGGAATTTACCTCATTAATCACGTTTTTTTAGTCAAATGATTTTTAGGATAGGTTTACTAATAAGAAAAAAAAATACCTTGTTTTTATTATTTATTTTGTTTCAATGGAAATTATATAGGTATATTTTTATTATTGTAACCTACATAGTTATGTTGGCTGTAATTTAATATTGATGTAATTAATATATGTATTTTTATTTCAAAATGTCTTTTATTAAAGTAGAAGCGATACCCTGCCTTCAAAATAACAACAACTGATTCAACAGTAAATATCGATTATTTATTTACTAACACGTCCAAGCATAAGTATACAACTTTATAATACACTTTCAAAGTGAATACCTACATAAGTATTCAAAATAGTCAAAACCCACATACATCGACATACAACATACATCAATTTATTACAAAGATTATACACAATGGTAAAAACCTTCGGATATAAAGTAGTATGTCATGCACGCAACAGCATCAGTACTTATCAATCGATCCGAATATTGTAACAGATAAATACTATACACAGGGTGATCTTTCCCTGTAAATTTTAAACATAGGCCAACCAATACTGCTACGTTTCTATACATTACTAATTGTATTATTATAAACATGTTATCTGAAGCTAGAACGAGCAGCGTGTGGTGGGGCAAATCGGTGGCAGTCGCTTGTTCGTGTAAAATAAATATCATCTGTCACAAAAAGTTGGAATATTAATTTATTAATTGAAGAAGAAAGAAAGAAGAAACAACAAACTGATAGTGCGCCGAGGGCGTAGATACGCTTCGATCAAATTCAGTGATGTAGATGGCGTTATATGCGAGAAAAAATACAGACTGTAAGGTAGTTGGCAAAAGTTTAGATAACATTGATTTCAGGAGATCATTCTTCCGAGTTTAAAACTGGTGAAACTTTAGCGAATTATTATTTTAAAGAATCGAATGAGTGCGAAAAATAAAAAATAAGGAGAAATCACTTGCATTTCCGAAAAAGATAGCGAGTTCCGGACAGCGGGTGTTTGGACTTCAATAGTTTTTGCCGACTTCACATCCTGTATTTATGAAGTACGTTGATTCGAGAACATAGAAACGACCTGTGCATGCATACAACTACTGCATGCTGAACTAACTAAAAATAACTATTTATGATCACAAATATCACGTAAAAGCTATTGCTTGACCAATTTAGCTACATATACAGAGCAGACCTAAATAAAACATTCATTATAAACTTTGCTAAAATAATCATACCTCAATAGTTTCATCTGACAGAACAATCATGTTATAACGCAATGGGTTTTGTTACTGAAAGTTAGGTAAAAAAAATATGTCCACCGCTGCGTGGATCGAATTCCGTGGACGGATGACGTACGACTGTTTGTGGGCGAACGTAAAAATCCTCTACGTTGCCCGAGGGATGTATCACCCTCGGAATCAGCTACACACGCAGCGTAGAAGACCTTTATCGACTGTATTCGAAATATGCAATCTCAACTTGATGATACCCTTGTGTTTCAGGTTTTCACAATTATTTCACCATTCGTTCCTACATACATTTTAAGATATAAATGCTAACTTTGCGCTCCTGCTTTATTACAAACAAAAATTAAAAATCAGAAATAATAAAAAAAATAAGTAATAATGTTTTTATAAGCACGTGTGTGTGATGTTACCGACTTAATTTCATAATCTTTGTTCTCACTCTACACATAGTACTAATTAGATACCTTTGATAAAATAGTTGCAGTAATGTAAATAATGCTAACAAAAATTCAGCATCATTATGAAGCTACTTTTCTAATGTAATTAAATAATAACCATACATGAATGAAATGGGTTACCCAAAAATGCTATGTTGTCTACAGGAACAAAGGTGTAATTTTGAGTTTTTTTTAATGCCACTTTCTTGGTAAAAATAATTTACCACCACTGTAGAAAAGCAGTGGCTTTTGCACACACATTTTAGGGTACCCTGAACTGTCTATTATTGTTAAGTTAGTGTGCACTGTGCATGCAAGCTGACATTGAAAAAAGGTCACCACTTAAAGAAGAAGTCTCTCACAGGAATGTTTTATAAACCAATTCTAACTCATAGATTCCATTCTTGACCTTGGCAATTTGAGGGTTAATTACATTACATTCCATAAATAGTAACCGTGTAATATTTAAAATTAAATGGTTTTTACTAATTAGATTAGGCAATGATCAGGGCCGGATCTACCTATGGGCTGATTGGGCTGCAGCCCAGGGCCCCGGGGTTGCAAGGGGCCCCCAGATCCCGCTAAAAAGTAGGCCATAATTTGAAAAAAAAAAAATGTTGTCTTTAAAGTCGGTTTACGGACGATATTTTTACGTGACAACGTCATAAGAAGTTTCAGCCCAGGGCCCCACAAATTCACGATCCGGCCCTGGCAATGATACAACAATCTGATTAGTTTTTTGTATATTCATGTAAGAATTCAAGTTTGTTAAAATTATGTTCCTGTTGTATTAATACTTCACCATTGCATAACAGTTGCCAAGCAATCTCTGACCCATACAATACTTTCAATCATTGCCATCATACATTTGATTACTTTACAAATTAGCACAGTAATAACATTTAACTATTAGCATTACATTCAAAGTTAATGCTTGATAAAATAGTCTTATCAAAATATAGGTCCACCACTCTAGCATTTGGGAAAATACAATAACACAAATGTAACCTAAGCATTAACAAGTTATATAACTTTGAATAATTCACGTTAAAATTACCATACAATATCATTGTAATACATTAAATCTAAAAACTAAATAATGTGGCTAAATATTATAATTTCAAGTAAAAAAAATGTGTATAACTATACCATACAGGTTATATTATGTTCATTTATGTATGGACATATTGAATCACACCTATGCAAGCTAATATGGTTCATGAAACACACAGATTAACAAGGTACATTGAACATTTTTCCTATTTTAAATTCCTCTTGACGTAACAGTTATGGCCATTCTCAATAAGGAATTACATAAATTCCTCAGAAATTACAACAGCTGTTTGTTTTGCGAGCTGTTTTATAAAACAATTTGCTGTGCATAGTCAAGCTCTCGGATTTTGCAACCATATCATCCAATTTCTCTCCCCTCTCCAAAACAGCTTTTATTGTGTCGTGTAATATGATCTTTGTCTCATCCAACTCATTCTGTATTTTAGTTAATGCATCAGCTTCTTTGGGGTTCTGATATCTAGTTAAATGTTGGGGCAAGATTGGGAAGTCCACTGTAGCTTCATTGGCAGTCGGCCAATTAGTAGCGGGTACTGCAGCACTAAATTCATCGAGAATTTTTGTAATCAAAGTATGGGCCACTCTGTTTGGGTACTCGTGGTCTGATATAAGCACACCAGCTAGGTTGTCTGCCCTCACATACACATGTAACATGTATTCTCCTTCTTTAAATGATTGCCTGGAAGCTTGCTGTGTTCTTTCTACCATAGTTTTGCTGACAAACATCATAAACTCTTGCACAGAACTTCTCTGAAAGAAACTGAAACTTTGCAAATCATAGGCAGATTTGAGCAGTGTCCCACTGTTAACTCCTTTGTAAAGAACTAAGATCGCATACAGTTTCACCATCTTGAACTTAAGTGGAGGTGTTCAGAATCTGAAAATTCAATTCAAAAAGGTAATTAATGAAGAGTCAATAATTAAATGCCACTTCTCAAGAAATATGTTGTTATTTTGTGGCACTAGGTTAAGTACATAGGTACTTCAAAAATAAGTAAGGTGTAGCAATAGTGTTTGGAAGGTATTTTAGTAAGTACCTATTTAATAATATAATATTATTCTGTGTAATTTAAAATTCCAATTCCGGATTGTTTCTGAAATTGACATTTTCGCTGAATATTCTTGCAATGTATTTTATTTCTGTGAATCTTAGGGATGATATAAAAAATTGCATTAAAAGTGAAAGCTTTGTTGAATGAAAGTGACTAATCCTCATGACCAAACATCTGTTTTATTTATTATAATATTGACATATACTCACGTATTTATAGGCTTGTTACAGAGAAATAAAAAATAAATTATTATTTGTGCAAATTATTAGTACAATAATTAAATAATTTCGTAAATTCTAAATTGAAGCTGACTTGGCTAGAGCTACGCAGAAGAAACGTCAAAGGTCACGTCATGAATGTCAAAATTCTGACATTGTTTTTTTTCGGTTACGTTCAGAAAAGCATTGCAACTAGATTTTAAAAAAATGCTTAAACAATGAAATAGCTCATCATTCACCCCAATTGATTCATTGCCTTTTGTTTGTTAGCAACATTGTGCTGTGCAAAATGTTACGGCCGAAAAGCGCAGAAAGCTTAGAAAAACTTGTTGAAAATTATGTTTTCATCAGTAAGTAATTGACTTGATTTACATTGTACAACATTTGGGGTGAATAGTTAAAAGTAAAACTGTCATCAAGCGTGTGTGCGTGACATTCATGACATTGACAGTCAGCTCTAAAAAATCACAAAAAAAAAACAATTTTGTTTGAGTTTTAGTTTTTCTGGTTTGTTTATTTTAAAATGTATTTTCATTGATCGTAGATCAGTAAAACTGTTCACAATATTACTTTAATCTCATAAAGTAACGAAGATGTCTGAAAATACCGAAAAAGTGGAAAATGCCGCAGATGCTCGACGACGGATCCTCAACATCGCGGTTTCCACAGTTCTCTTGGAGACTGGCTTTGATTCTGCTGACAAAATGGCATTAGAAACATTAACGGAAATGCTTCAGTGTTGTAAGTTAATCTTTGTTCACAAAATATCTATTTTGTCATGAAAATACTAGCTGAACTAAGCTTCTCTCTGCATAGTTTTCTACATTTCATAATATTCTGTTTCCAGTTCTGACAGAAGTTGGTAACTCAGCAAAAGGATACTGTGAATTAGCTGGGAGAGTTGAGCCAGTTCCTGGTGATGTTGTTATGGCACTTATTAACATGGGTAAGTAGTTTGGGTTTGAGTATAGGAAACGGGGCACTGTGGGGCACGAGACTCATCATTTATAAATAATGAACAGAATATTCTACTCTTGAGAAACAAATGGCTATTATGTCTATTTATTTTCCTAGTTTTTAATTTAATTCGGTACTACAATTTCAGGTATAAGTCTTCAAGGCATAGAACAGTATGCTGCACGTCCAAATAGACATGTGATTCAGCCACCACAGCAGGCACCTGCCCCAAGAACTCCCGCAATGCTCTCTGCAGGCTCCAAAGCAAAGCCAGCACCGCACATACCCTTCCACTTGCCAGCATTGCCTGATCCTCATGCCTATATTAGGACACCTGTAAGTGGCTCTATAAATGCTTTTTTGGATTATTCCAGAAGTATTCAATTGTATAGCAATAGCACATTATGATTAGATAGTATCTGTTGAAAATTAATATTTGAAATGAATGAAACCATGGATTAATATTTGAAAGTCAATCTTATAACAACTGTATGATAGCAGTGTCTAGCTGGATGTAAAATAATGGGTCTAATATGGTCACATTATTTAATTTTATATTTTTTACTTTCAGACTCATAAACAACCAGTCACAGAATATGAAGCGATTAGGGAAAAAGCAGCATCACAGAAGAGGGACATTGAAAGAGCTTTGACAAAGTTCTTAGCTAAAACCAGCGAGACACACAACTTATTTAATACTGAAGATAATACAGTCTTTCCATGTGAGTATAGAATAAAAAAAACATTACTTAAACAACAATAGAAGTTTAATTGTTATGACTGCTATAGCAGTTCACTGTCATGGAAAGTGTTAAACAACATCAAATTAATTATGAAAGTTTATACAGACACTTTATCTCATACTGCATTTTATTCTTCCAGTGATTGCCTGTAAGCCAACATTTCCAGCATACCTCCCATGCCTATTACCAACAGATCAAGTGTTTGACTTTGATGAGTTGGAATACCACTTCCAAGTAGCTAATAGGACTGAAGATATGCCTACAGAAAAGAAAGGTAAGCATTTCTTGAGTATCACACTAATTATACCAATTTGTCTGAAGCAATTGTAGTGATATACTGCTTCATAAAAGGATACAAACATTATTTTGCTGCTAGACAACCACATTTTTGTCTCCTTTTATGCAGCATTATATGAGCAAAGCAGCATCTAACCACATTTTTGTATATTTGCAGTTTTTGCAGTGATATATCAGCATTTCTGTCATTTTTAAATGACTAATCATTATGAATTTTCTTTCAGATCAATCTGACAATGAAGGTGATAATGGTGGCGATAATGACCCAAATGCATCTCAGTCTGAAAACCAGGATGCAGGACCTTCAAGCCCTGACAGAAGTAAAGCTGGTGGATAGTTATTTAAGTAGACTTCTAAATAATGTAAGATATTACAGTAAGGTCAAATAAAAGTATTTTTTATATTTCTAGTATTCATTAAATTGTTATTGTTACTGGAAGAGGATGCCATATGGCATTAAGTTCTTTTACGCACAATATACCAAAGCAAAACCTCATTATATCAGTGGCATGAAACACACGTGATTTTAACATAGGTGACTCAGGGCGTGTCCCCATTATGCTGACTGTCCAGTAACTTAGAGCGGGCATATTAGATAATTATGTACCATCCTAGACTGCATCTCACTTAACACCAGGTGCGATTGCGGTCAAATACCTGCCTTGTCCAGCATAAAAAAAATAAAAAAATATCGCCTATAGGTAATTTGGAGCGAACTCTAATAACGTATTAGCCGTGAAGTGCTAATGTCAGCCAAAATTAGTTTCTAGGAAATTTAAAACAATAGAAACAACAAAAATATTTATGAAATTGTTGTTTATTTAACCTTAAAAAATAAAAAATCATTTTAGTGACGCAGAGTTGATAACAGGCAATGTCTTGATGCCATCCCTGGTGACAACTGTTACTTGGAAGTTGGGCAGGCTAACAAACAGTCTCTTGTGGACTTCTGTAATGCATTTCTTCAGTATTTCATACGCTTCCTGCTCCGTTGCATCTGAAAATAACAATAAAATTTTGAGTGTACTCATCAATACAGCTAAAACTAAGAATGAAAAACAATCTTTCTTTGTAATGGATAAGCATTCAAGGGTCTAAAACAGACAATTATTTATGGAGACTCATGTTCATTAGTGGACATCCTGTGGCTGAAGTTATGATACAATTTATATTTACAAACCTTTCTTGTGATAACGGTCCATAATACTCAAGCTAAGGTACCCGCCGAAGCCATGGCAAGCAAATGGAACCTTCACACTTGATGCTAAGTAGTCCATAAAGTACAGTTCTGGGCCATTCTCCTTGTCGTACCCAGCCATCAGCAAATTGACAAAGTATGGAGTCTGGAATCAAAGATTTTATCTTCAATGTTTCTTTTAAGTATAAAATTATATTCATCTTGACACAGAATCAAGTCAGGAAGTATGTTGTTTAACAAGCCAGTTTCCCCTTTTATATTTTTAAATAGGTACTCTTATTGGCAAGTCATGATGAATCAATCTCAGTATACTTACGCTGCTCCGCAGATATTCAGCGAGATTCCTGCGAGTGAAATTGGCTGCAGCCGTCGGACCCAATTCGTAGCCGTTGCGCATTTTGTACAGCTGAATATTCTTGGCGATATATTCAGCAAACTGAGTGGTGTCCCCAGAATCACCAATCACACCCATCACCAGTCTATCAGAAATCTTAAATATCTTCTCCTCATCTAAAATCAAACAGTATTTTTTAGCAAATTCAATAAAAACCGTAAAAGAAAAGTAGATTCTCGAGTGACTTACCATCTTTCATGACCATAATACTGTGGCTGTTGGTTTGGTCAGCAGCAATCATAACAAAATCATTGCATTGTATACCCAGCAAACATTGTAAGTTGATGTTCGACATTTTTAGCAAAAACTTACAGTAATATCAATCAAAAACTGCAAACAAAATGCGAAATAACCTTTCTTGTACAACAAACTTGTCAACTCATTCCATAGACAAGATTTTTTTATTTTATTATAAGTAATTACATACCAGAGACTTGATAATCATATAGATTGGGCTACTCTAGCCGAAAGAGAGACCACGAGATAGGGCGAGTGGGATAGTGTTTCGGGGTGTCTCACTACCGCTCGCTCGCTCATCGGCTTAACTTAAAAAAAAAAACAAATGTCACTGATTGACATTGACAATCGAAGCATGTGAGGCAGGGTGAAGAAACTTCCATACAACGGTCATCGAAGTGAAACTTGCTTCCAAACAGCGACATCGGTGAATAAATTCAAATACTTTTTAACTACCCTAAAACGCTCTAGATGTCGCTGCTCCTGTTTCCTTCATATTTTCATTTTTTTCTTAATTAAAATATATTTGAGAATATTGTTAATTACAATGTGAAAACTTTTTTTAAATGAAATTAATTTGTTTTAATTTAAAACTGAACATTGACATTTTTGTTAAAATTTACATAATAGAGTAGTAGAAATTACGGATTACTAATGTTTGGCCAAAAAACGTTTCCCAAATTATCACATCGCAAACAACGTTTCGCAAATTTTCATTTGGCAAATTCTCATTTGGCAAAACAACCTATTGCAAACTTTTAATTCGCAAATGTCGTTTTTGGCATATTATTGTTTAGCAAATTATTGTTTGGCAAAGTATGTTTTGCCAAATGTTTTATTTGGCAAAAATATTTCACGATAAACTATTTACAAAACAATTTGAATGGAATACAAATTAGCTTGTGGTTATTTTGTTTAGTGGGNTACTTTTCTCTATGATGTGAGGTTATGATGTTGTTGTGACTGAATTTTAGTTTAAAAATTTACAAATTATTACTAAAAAATGTTTAAAAAAGTAGCTTTAGGTATATCGGGAGGTGTAGATAGTGCTGTAGCAGCACTTCTTTTAAAAAGAGCAGGTAATTAATTGCAACTTGTAGTGTATGTATAAATTTGAAATAGTGTGGTTATGTCTGAAGATAAAACATTGTAATTTCACAGGTTTCCATGTAGAAGGAGTATTTATGAGAAATTGGGATAATAATTATGAAGCCGGTTTTTGTTCTGATGAAAAAGACTTCGAAGATGCAACGTTTGTTTGCCGTAAGCTACAAATACCTCTACATAGGGTTTACTTCATCAAAGAGTACTGGAATGAAGTTTTTACGGTGTTGTTAAACGAGTATCAGACGGGACTGACACCGAATCCCGATATACTGTGCAATAGATACATTAAATTTGATAGCTTTTTCGAACATTGCAGGAATAACTTAGGGGTGGATGCTATAGCAACTGGTCACTATGCTAATACATCCTTCGGCCCTTTCCTTGAACAGTATTCGGAAGATGAAGGTATTGAGTGCTATTTCAAGTTTTTATTTCTATGTACTTTTATAAAAAAATGTTTTAAACTTAGTTTAAACCAAAAGAATAAGTTTAAATTTCTTTTCAGGTGTAAGATTGTTACAGCCAGCTGACAAGCACAAAGACCAAACTTTTTTCCTATCACAAGTAAAACAATTTTCTTTGAGAAGATGTATGTTTCCCATAGCAAACCTTATGAAAAGTCAGGTTCGGGAGATAGCTAAAGCTGAAGGTCTAATTAATGTGGCTAATAAAAAGGACAGTACTGGGATTTGTTTCATTGGGAAAAAGAGGTTTCAGGACTTTATTGAAGAGGTATTAAATTAATGGTTACAGCAAATATGAAGTACCTTAAATTATCTCTTTTAAAATCAGCATGTTTTTCTTTTTACAGTACATTGAAACCAAGAAAGGTTCCTTCATAGATATAGACACGGGGCAAGTAGTTGGGCAGCATGGAGGACTACATAAATGGACTGTTGGACAAAGATGCTGTCTGGCTGATCACAAAGATGCTTACTTTGTGTTCAAGAAAGATTTAGAAACAAACAATATTTATGTGGTAATTGTAGAAATTTTCTTTCGAAAACTATAATAAAACAATCACACAATTAAATTGAAACAAAAGCAAAAACCTAATGACCATAAAATTAAGGCCCTAAATATGTTAAAAAAAAACAAGAATTTAATTTATTAGTTTCTTATAACTGATTGCATTTAGTTGACAAATCTTTAATTGTTTCAGGTTCCTGGCACAAAACATCCTGCTATATGGAACAATTTGTGCTTCACTGGGGAACCTCATTGGATCCATAGTGAACCCCTAGAATTACAAGACAATAATATCTTTAACTGTTACTTTCGGTTTCAACATACAAAGCCATTGGTTTCCTGTAGAATTGTGAAGAATGCAGAAGGGCTTACTATATTGCTAGGAAGTAATTTGAGAGCTATCACAGAGGGTCAGTTTGGTGTATTGTACAAAGACGGCGAATGTCTTGGTAGTGCAAAAATAAAAAACATATGCCATAATTTAATTAATTTTAAATAATTCTTGTTTTGGTGTGCTGATTGTGTTGTTATTATTCCTACCCAAGTAGGTAAATAGTTAATAAATTGTTAATTTAGTCATAGTTAAATTAAATTTATTGTTAAACAATAATACTAGTTTATAATATGGTTTTTGCAAGTTGTCTAGTTTGTGATGATGAAGTTTTGAGATGTGAGATGGTGCAAGTTAGGCAGGATTCACATTGATCGCAGCGTCTGTTCGGCCAAAAATGCGGTGGAATGCGTTACGGCCGGTTCACACATGTCTCCGTTTTATCGTGTACGTTTTTTTCGTCGATGGTGTATGTAGTTGTATGAGCGACTTCACACATGATACAGTATTCTGTATACAGTAATAGGTACATACATCGAGGAAAAAAAACGTACACGATAAAACGGAGACATGTGTGAACCGGCCGTAAGTGTGCGCGCGTATCCGCTGGAATACGCTCGGAGCTGACCGGCTTCCGACGCATGCTCGCCATACAACATGCTCGTGCATCCCACAGTGCATCCGTCCGGATTGAAATGTCAGTTACACAACTCTAAGAACTGTTAATAATGCAGGATTCACATTGACCGGCGCGAGTCGGCGGGCAGCGATATTCTCTAATCTGTGGGGCAGCGCAGCGTCTGTTCGGCCAAAAGTGCGGTGGAATGCGCGTTTCGCGCGCGTATCCGCTGGAATACGCTCGGATCGGAGCCGATCATTTGAGGGCTATCGTTTTTATACTTAACTCTTAACAGTTGGCACCCCTGGCGGTTGACAGGACCTTACTCTACTGTGGCGCCATCTTGATGAGTGCAAATACGATAGTCCTCCTACCACTTTAGCGCTCACAAGTTGGCGCCACTGTCTTCGCTACTAGCAAGTGACAGGACCTTACTCTACAGTGGCGCTTACTGGTGAGCGCTAAAACGATAGCCCTCATTAAGTTTAACCTCCTGAGACCCCCGGTGTCACTCATGACACTTGAGTATATTTTTTTTTTACATCGCC